GGTCTTTTTAAATCATAAAAACCGCGAATTCAAGTAGCTCTCGAAAAACCAACAAAGAACGTTACACAGAACTTACCAGGAATAAACTTCTGCGACTCTGCAGGGGGCGGTACCCAGCTTCCGTTGCCCGGGTCTCCGGTGATGAGCTTCATGTGGCCCACCCGTACAGCCGCCCTCACCGTGGTGTCGAACGTGTCGTTGTACAGAGGGACGCCTACTCTGGGTCGCAGGGGGTCGATGTTGTGAAGTAGGACTGTGCGTTTGCTGGGAGTTCCGCGGCTGTGGAAGCAACACACATCCCGTTGTAGGCTACGGATTGACTCATATACAGTATAACTTATAACACAGATATCTCGAACACAGAAGACTCGAAATCACGCATATGTCGAACTGTGTCTGCGGTCCCGTTTTTTCTTCTTCTTTATCTTCGTAAGATATCCCTCGAACTACGGATTCCTCGAACTACCGAGGCGGGTCCCAACGAATTCGACCCATCCGTGTTATACAGAATACTTCTATCATCGTTGAAGTCCGACTGTTACCGTGTATGTACGTGAACATTGATTTTCAGAAAAGTGGAAAAGAACACTAAAGTTTCATAATAGTATAGCTATAGGAAAATTGCTCAGAATAATACATTTCCAGGGTGTTCTTTTTGCATAACTATAATGATAGCCTATATAGATCAGGGAAACATAGTTTTTTAAAGAGTATTCAAACAAAGTAATGAATGGACAACCGTGCTTGCCGTGTCTGTCGCAGATTTGGCACTGGATGATGATGATGATAATGATATAACAATTAACAGTAAGTATTGTTGCGAATAACATAATTCTGGACACAAAAGGGGCCGGCAATTGTTTGGTGTTTGACTCAATCTAGCGAATATATGGATAGAATTAGACATAGACCATTATATAAATGCAATAATCCACATGCTGATACAATGCAGAGAGTTATATCTCATTTTTGTTTTGTTTGTTTTTGTAAGTGTTTTACGGCGCTCGCAACTAAATAAGGTCATATGAGCGCGCGGGGCACACTAAACTTTTTTCAGTTGGTAGGAAATTTTGAATTTTGCCCGGGTGGCGGCCGAAGCCTACTCTTATCGATTTTTGACCACCAAGGGATCTTTAACGAGCACAATTTGCACACGGGACCTCCGAGATTTTTCGCCCTTGTCCGAGAAGGCTTGGTGTAGATCTTTCCTACCAGAAGATCAGGGGTGTGGCTGAAAGACAGCAGTAAGA